ATGTGTCCCACACAGGTCTGGGAGCTCCATGTGTCCCACACAGGTCTGGGAGCTCCATGTGTCCCACACAGGTCTGGGAGCTCCATGTGTCCCACACAGCTCTGGGAGCTCCATGTGTCCCACACAGGTCTGGGAGCTCCATGTGTCCCACACAGGTCTGGGAGCTCCATGTGTCCCACACAACTCTGGGAGCTCCATGTGTCCCACACAGGTCTGGGAGCTCCATGTGTCCCACACAGCTCTGGGAGCTCCATGTGTCCCACACAGGTCTGGGAGCTCCATGTGTCCCACACAGGTCTGGGAGCTCCATGTGTCCCACACAGGTCTGGGAGCTCCATGTGTCCCACACAGGTCTAGGAGCTCCATGTGTTCCACACAGGTCTGGGAGCTCCATGTGTCCCACACAGGTCTAGGAGCTCCATGTGTTCCACACAGGTCTGGGAGCTCCATGTGTCCCACACAGGTCTAGGAGCTCCATGTGTCCCACACAGGTCTGGGAGCTCCATGTGTCCCACACAGGTCTGGGCGCTCCATGTGTCCCACACAGGTCTAGGAGCTCCATGTGTCCCATACAGGTCTGGGAGCTCCATGTGTCCCACACAGGTCTGGCAGCTCCATGTGTCCCACACAGGTCTGGCAGCTCCATGTGTCCCACACAGGTCTGGCAGCTCCATGTGTCCCACACAGGTCTGGGAGCTCCATGTGTCCCACACAGGTCTGGGAGCTCCATGTGTCCCACACAGGTCTGGGAGCTCCATGTGTCCCACACAGGTCTGGGAGCTCCATGTGTCCCACACAGGTCTGCGAGCTCCATGTGTCCCACACAGGTCTGGGAGCTCCATGTGTCCCACACAGGTCTGGGAGCTCCATGTGTCCCACACAGGTCTGGGAGCTCCATGTGTCCCACACAGGTCTGGGAGCTCCATGTGTCCCACTCGTGTGGGCAACTATATTTTACCTTTATTTTGACCGCCTTACTCCTCTCCCTCCGAGGTTATGCACTATTAACTGAGATCTTCTGGTCGTGATTTATTTGACTGTTGCTCACCTATGACTTGATAAATGTCCAGGAGCCAGGAGTCATCAAGCATTTACGAAACCTGTACATCTTTCCTCTATGATGGTGGCTTTGTTTACACTTATTAAACCGTTTACGAGCTGGGGAACTTCACAACCCAAGGTTATTATTGTTATAAACAACTTCGTAGTGCTTAGGAGCGCATACACTGTTTAATACGTGTAAATAAGTCGCCAAGATTGAGGAAAGATGTACAGGTTTCGTACATGTTGATGACTCCTGTCCCAGGACGGACAGAAACGTCGACACTTGAACATTCACACGTGTGTGTGTGGGAAGGGTTATATATATATATATACCTTTCCTATGGTTGTTCCACCAAGAAAGTTACATCAGAATTAATGTAGACCATATTGAGTGTATCAACGTTGCTACACTGATGGGCTAACATTGTGTTCTTCCTGTGATGTTTAACTCGCCAATAACAGGCAGGCGGCCGCTTGATGCTTTGATTAGCTAGCCTTTGATGATCCCCAGAGGGCATGGAGTCTTATCCCAGCGTCGCCCTGGACACCACTCTGAGGCCACCACTACCATTGTCTATCACCACTCTGAGGCCACCACTACCATTGTCTATCACCACTCTGAGGCCACCACTACCATTGTCTATCACCACTCTGAGGCCACCACTACCATAGTCTATCACCACTCTGAGGCCACCACTACCATTGTCTATCACCACTCTGAGGCCACCACTACCATTGTCTATCACAACTCTGAGGCCACCACTACCATTGTCTATCGCCGCCCACGACACTGATTATATTTCCGATTTCGAACCTGCCAGATGCGAATTTAAAGTCAAATATTACACGTAACACAGAAAATATTGTAAATATATATGTAAATGAACGTAATTTTATTCAAAGTAATGTTATTGCAGATTATCGGAAATTAATTATTTTAATAGCGTAATTTTTTTTTTTATTTAGACGGCATTTTCTTCATAACCTTTCTATATCACGCCCAAGATTTTTTTAATTCCCCAAATTTTGAGTTTTGGATTTGTTTTCTGTAAGTGAATCTACCTCCACCACTCCACAACCCGTGTAGTGAGGGAGTCTACCTCCACCACTCCACAACCCGTGTAGGGAGGGAGTCTACCTCCACCACTCCACAACCCGTGTAGTGAGGGAGTCTACCTCCACCACTCCACAACCCGTGTAGGGAGGGAGTCTACCTCCACCACTCCACAACCCGTGTAGTGAGGGAGTCTACCTCCACCACTCCACAACCCTTGTAGGGAGGGAGTCTACCTCCACCACTCCACAACCCGTGTAGGGAGGGAGTCTACCTCCACCACTCCACAACCCGTGTAGTGAGGGAGTCTACCTCCACCACTCCACAACCCTTGTAGGGAGGGAGTCTACCTCCACCACTCCACAACCCGTGTAGGGAGGGAGTCTACCTCCACCACTCCACAACCCGTGTAGTGAGGGAGTCTACCTCCACCACTCCACAACCCTTGTAGGGAGGGAGTCTACCTCCACCACTCCACAACCCTTGTAGGGAGGGAGTCTACCTCCACCACTCCACAACCCGTGTAGGGAGGGAGTCTACCTCCACCACTCCACAACCCTTGTAGGGAGGGAGTCTACCTCCACCACTCCACAACCCGTGTAGTGAGGGAGTCTACCTCCACCACTCCACAACCCTTGTAGGGAGGGAGTCTACCTCCACCACTCCACAACCCGTGTAGGGAGGGAGTCTACCTCCACCACTCCACAACCCGTGTAGTGAGGGAGTCTACCTCCACCACTCCACAACCCTTGTAGGGAGGGAGTCTACCTCCACCACTCCACAACCCGTGTAGGGAGGGAGTCTACCTCCACCACTCCACAACCCGTGTAGGGAGGGAGTCTACCTCCACCACTCCACAACCCTTGTAGGGAGGGAGTCTACCTCCACCACTCCACAACCCGTGTAGGGAGGGAGTCTACCTCCACCACTCCACAACCCGTGTAGGGAGGGAGTCTACCTCCACCACTCCACAACCCGTGTAGGGAGGGAGTCTACCTCCACCACTCCACAACCCGTGTAGTGAGGGAGTCTACCTCCACCACTCCACAACCCGTGTAGGGAGGGAGTCTACCTCCACCACTCCACAACCCGTGTAGTGAGGGAGTCTACCTCCACCACTCCACAACCCGTGTAGGGAGGGAGTCTACCTCCACCACTCCACAACCCGTGTAGGGAGGGAGTCTACCTCCACCACTCCATTCTTCACTAAATGCATCTGTCCACCTAGCAGTAAATAGGTATTGTACCCGGGACTTAATCAACTGTTGAAGGGTTGCATTAGGAAGGACCTCGATATAAGCCTAAAGTGTATATGTATGTATGTATATATATATATATATATATATATATATATATATATATATATATATATATATATATATATATATATATATATATATATATATATATAATACAAGCTCACTGTCCCCGACAAAACGAATTATTAATAATATTGTTATATTTATATCAAGCTTCAGACACGAGCATGTTATACTTGTCTTAAAGAGTTGAGAACAATTAAGGATGATAAACAATCAATTAATGTATCAAGTTTGGAGACTTGTACCCATGTGAGTGAGTGCAAGAGTGTGACCAACAGTTGGGCGTGAAGGGTGGAGGTCCAGTTGTTTACACGGACCTTCCAACAATTGTCACAACAACTCTACCTTATTTTCATTTCATTTCTTTATTATGCACCCCATACCCATCCCACGGGCGGTGGTGGAAAGGGTTACAGAGGCACATAATTGAGGAACTGAACCCCAGAGTTGGTTTAGCTTAGCGAGTGACAGGCTTGTGAAGCTAGTTACACCACTCTTATTAATATTACACATGTACATATACATACATATATATATATATATATATATATATATATATATATATATATATATGTCGTACCTAATAGCCAGAACGCACTTCTCAGCCTACTATTCAAGGCCCGATTTGCCTAATAAGCCAAGTTTTCATGAATTAATGTTTTTTCGTCTACCTAACCTACCTAACCTAACCTAACCTAGCTTTTTTTGGCTACCTAACCTAACCTTACCGATAAATATAGGTTAGGTTAGGTTAGGTAGGGTTGGTTAGGTTCGGTCATATATCTACGTTAATTTTAACTCCAATAAAAAAAAATTGACCTCATACATAGAGAAAAGGGTTGCTTTATCATTTCATAAGAAAAAAAATATAGTAAATATATTAATTCAGGAAAACTTGGCTTATTAGGCAAATCGGGCCTTGAATAGTAGGCTGAGAAGTGAGTTCTGGCTACTAGGTACGACATATATATATATATATATATATATATATGTGTGTGTGTGTGTATATACACATGTACACAAATACATATACATATCAATAAGAACAGTACCTCCAGCTGCACCCGTGGGGCGGGGTAGACAATCATCTGTGTATATATGTCTTGAGCAGAGAATTAAGATGGCTTAAGGCGTTGAGCTTTGCCTCAAGACGAAGATTGGCCTTCAATTTGCTTCTTGGGTGGAAAGGGAGGGATTAAAATTAGAAAGGGGTAATCTCCCACGGTGCAGGAAAGTGCCGTTGTTGTCTCTCTGGGTACACGTTGTGAAGCTGATACGTTCTGAGTCCACTTACAGTTTTAGTGGTCCATTTTGCACAATGTTAACCTTGATTAAAGGTCTTGACCTTTAATCTTAAAGGCCATCTTAACCCTTGCTTTTGTGCAAGGGTTAAGATGGGCTAGCCTAAGCATTTTAATATCAATTAGATCATTAATTTCAATAACATTATCAATTACGCCTCGAATATTAAATTGCTTTCTTATATTAAGTTCCAAAATATTAGTATTCTTGTGTTGGTATCGAGTATTAATAATAAACTTAAGTTTTAGCCTGGCCACACAGCTAACTTAACACCTTACCTTGGCCCTGCCGGAGAGGCCCTTGACTTTCTCACAGTTGAAGCCGATGGTGGGGACGGTATTGAGGTACTGGTCGAACTTGAGGCGGTAGAGAGCGGTCGACTTGCCCGCTGAGTCGAGGCCGAGCATGACGATGTGAAGTGTTCCTTGGGTGAGGTGGAGAGCGTCCAAGATGCCCCCACCGCCACCCCCACCATGGGCCCCGCCGCCCCCTCCACCCTTGCCCATGTTCACTCCCATGCTGGTGTGCAGGTCCCTCCCGCTGGTGGGCACTGTGACCCCACCCCGTCAAGCTGGTGGGCACTGTGACCCCACCCCGTCAAGCTGGTGGGCACTGTGACCCCACCCCGTCAAGCTGGTGGGCACTGTGACCCCACCCCGTCAAGCTGGTGGGCACTGTGACCCCACCCCGTCAAGCTGGTGGGTGGGTTGAGCAGAGATGGGTTCTCTCTCTCTTTATCTCCCCTTTTCTCTCTGTTTCTCTAGTTCCTATATTTATATTTAGTCTCTTGTTGAGGAATATTATCATATAGTGTTCTCCCGGAGCCCTTTAGCCACATTTCCCTTCTAGTGGTCACTCGTGGCGCACCCAGACATTGCAGTGACGAGCGGTGGTGTTTGTGTGTTGCTGTGGCGACTTTGTCGGTTGTGGACAATGTTGCTGGCGTCCTGCCCTCACACTACACTCCATTATTTATCATACTAACTCCTCCACCACCACACTCCTCCACCCACCTGCAACTTCCTGTCCTGTTTCTGTGTTGTGTTCAGGCTTTTCTTCTCGGGTCAACACACCGGTCTTGTGTTGCGGAGACAGCCAGCAGGTGGTCAGATCCCGGCCACGGGTCACTCATCATGCAACACAAGCAACACTAGGTCACCCGCACCTCTCCCGCCCCACTGGCACTCTGGCTAGTATGGACGCTCTTGGCACCGCTAGCCCTACGTGGCCCTCAGTGCCAACCAACGCGACGTGGCGACACGGTAACAACGTCTAAGGCTATTTTCTCTCTCTGGGGCGCTAGGATCCCCTCACACCGTTGACTGAGCCTCCACCAGCGCCAGCGGCCACACGGCTGCCACCACTGCCACATCCCGCCACCCTTTACATCTCCACCACAGCCTCTACACTCCCTCTACACACACACTCACTCCATCACCCCTCCACGCACTCGTAAAGCATAACCATTACATCGGGGCTCCCTCACTGGTAGTGTGAGGGCAGGTGTTGTGAGGGTGAAGAATGTACAAGGTGTGGGGGTAGCGGCACCAGTCTGGGTTGACAGCGGTGAGGCACACATGCGCACGCCGGCCCCTCACAGCTGACTACATCCACCCTCACAACAAACGTTTGCCGTCAGGTTTACAATATGCAAAGAACAGCAAAATTCGTGTCAGTCTTCCACTGGTGCCTTCAACGGTAATTGTATGGAAGAGAGAAGTGCGCTCATCCAGGATTGGTGCTATATCGGCACCCACACTCTACAGAATGGATGTTTGGTTCTAAAAATAGAAAACATGCTATTAAAAGACGGGTCGGAAACTTGGCTTACTTTGCCATACAAAAGTTTCGCATACAAAGGATAATATCAACTGTGATGAGACTTTGTCATACAGTTCGCGGCATGACAAGTCGACAATGTCGACAATTACGGTAGACAATTGCATATACCCGCATGAGGGAAGCCGCACTACCGGCCACACACACACACACGCACACACTCCAGATTGCGTCACTCAGAGAGAACGGAGGCGGCAGAGGCAATCAATATGGCGCCGGCCAGTTAGCAATATCCGTAAAACCTCAAGGCCGGAGAGCGCGAGACTGGGTCACTGGTCCCAAATCCTCGCCCGCTCACAACACTGGGTCAGGATGCACGTTCCCAATCACCCCCGCACACCCCCGCACACCCCCTCACACCCACGTACACCCCCGCACACCCACGTACACCCCCGCACACCAAAGAACACCCGCACCCAGCCTGTGTTAAAGCGGAGGAAGATACACGCAGGGAAGTAGAATGCGGGTGTAGGTGGACCTACACCCAACTTGAAGCTGGGCCATTGAGACTTGAACTCTCCTCAGCCCGTCCTGCACGCGTTCCTTAGCAAACTTCGCCTCAGACCTTCCAACTCCCTTAATTAAAACCTAATGACTACCACCCCTTTCCCTGTTCGCTGGGGAGTGTTATTTGTAGTGCCCTCATTCCTGACACTACACTCTCTGTGTGTGTTTACTATTTGGCCCTGAAGGATCGAGCTGTTAGCTCTTGGACCCCGCCTTTCTTGGCGTCGGTTGTCCAATGTTCAGACTCACAATTTAATCTTCTCTTTCGAAATACATTTATTTATATACAAGAAAGTACATTGGGTTGTGAGAGTACATAATATCGCTGTTATTACACTCTTCCAAATCCACTAACACGCATAGCGTTTCTGGCAGGCGGTTTATACATATGAAAATGTGTAACTGTTTTGGTTCGGGGTTTTATACATATAAAAATGTATAATCGTGAAGGGAAAATTAAACAAGAAATTACTTGAGCGCTTTCGTGTTAATACATCAACCAAAATCTAAGTTTGTTTACATACGTGTAGCTTCTGTGTCGGGGCAGCTTACTCAAGAGTGGGTCTCATGTAGGTTATATATATATATATATATATATATATATATATATATATATATATATATATATATAAATATATAAATATATAAATATATATATATAAATATATAAATATATATATATATATATATATATATATATATATATATATATATATATATATATATATATATATATATATATATATATATATATATATATATATATATATATATATCATACTTCATAGGATCAATTCTATAGTATGACTGCCGAGTTCCTTGTTCGAAACTCGGGAAAGAATCACACTGCGATACTGTTTGACGCTGTTAACCATACCTGGCCAGTAGTAGTCTTGACGGATTCCGTGGTAGGTTTTGTTAAAACCGTAGTGCGAAAGTGCTCCCTGGGCCAGGTGTAGAATAGTGGTCCGCAGGCTGGTAGGAATCACTAGTTGTTCGACGTTGGCCCAATCGTCCTCCTCCTTCAGTTTACTGGGTCTGTATTTGCGGTAGAGCAACTCGTTCTCTAGAAAGAACCCAGGTATACTGTCAGGTAACCCAGGTATACCTGACAGTATACCTGGGTTACCTGACAGTATACCTGGGTTACCTGACAGTATACCTGGGTATACTGTCAGGTATACCAGGCTTACCTGACAGTATACCTGGGTTCTTTCTAGAGAACGAGTTGCTCTACCGTAGATACAGACCCAGTAAACTGAAGGAGGAGGACGATTGGGCCAACGTCGAACAACTAGTGATTCCTACCAGCCTGCGGACCACTATTCTACACCTGGCCCAGGGAGCACTTTCGCACTACGGTTTTAACAAAACCTACCACGGAATCCGTCAAGACTACTACTGGCCAGGTATGGTTAACAGCGTCAAACAGTATCGCAGTGTGATTCTTTCCCGAGTTTCGAACAAGGAACTCGGCAGTCATACTATAGAATTGATCCTGAATTGATATATAACTCCCACCCATTAGGTGGGAGTTCCTTACCGAGGCTGCATACTCAAGCGTAGTTCTCACATAGCTTGTCCAACTTCGGATGTGGCCCATGAAGTGATGCTGAAGTTATTCTCCTGATGTGTGGTTCTGGGAATATATTTGTGTTAGTCTATTCCCCAGGGCTTTCTCCTTTTCCAATGAATCTGTGTCAGCCATCCTCCTAAAATGAAAATACTTTTTGTAACACTGGTCGATCATACCAGCTCCATTTAGTAATGAGTTCCAATACTCGCCACTTTTTTTTGTAAGCCACTTTTTTGTTCTACTCTTTTTATAAAGTCTGGAAAAAAGTAGAGCTGAAACCAAACGTAAATATTCCTAGGCTTAGTATAGCATACATATGTACTTTATGAGGCCTCAGATAGCGTGTATTATTCCTAGTATGGTTAGGTTAGTTTTTATTAGTAACATAAATCTGAAAACGTTTCTAGCTTATCCACATTCAGTAATACAAAAGTCTGCTTTCTGGTGGTCCATCACGACATAATTGTACATTCTACCACATGGTTACTATAAGTACTGGTACTGTCATTTTAGGAGGCTGGGCTGCATCTTTCTCTCTTGTCTGATCCACTCACAGTCATCTTCCTTCTGATGGGGGTGTGGAGTAGTTTAGGCAGGTTCTTAGTTTACGACGATATTTCATCTTATTTCTCTTTCATTTAATCTATACAGTTTTGCTTGTTATTCTCATCTGTTTATCCAAAGTTGAGGTCAGATGCTTGGGGTTAGTTTCACCCAAATTTCCAAGCTGACACATGGAGGGTATGGGCTGGGGGTATGGTAGAGCCAGTCGGGGTCGGCCTCAGTGCCACCTCTTTAAGAAACATCGGCATCTGTCGTGACCCCTGAGATTTTCATGATCTGAAATCGGGGATTTGTTTTCTTAAGTTTTTTTTTTAGCAGTTTTCAGCACTTAATAATATTGTTTTTCTCTAAGAGAGAGGGAGGGAGGGGGTGATGTTGAGGGAGAGAAGGGAGGGGGAAAGATGCGAGTGTGGAAAGAGAGACGAGGGGAAGAAGGGTGAGGAGGGAGATAGGGGAGAGGAGAGATAGGGACAATAAGGTGAGACGGGGGCGTGGGGGAGTGGGGGGGACAGACTCGGCACAGCCAGGTATCCACATTTTATTCAGTTATAAAAAAAAAAACCTTAGGGGACAATAGGTGTGACCTCTGACAAGCTGTCAGCTTCCTGTCCTCGTCGAGGCCACTAGAGATAGTTATCCTCGGGTAAATTCAGGAAAAATTCTCTTCTTGGTCCATTTATCCTTCAGTGCTGTATGTATCTTCTCTCAGCTTCTTCGAGTTTGCTGGTTAAGTAGTTCATCATGTCTTGTATTGATTTCTTCCCACCACCATTTTCTTCAGAAATTCTGACTTTCTGACAACAACGCACAAATTCTTAAAATTACTAGCAGCTTTGCTAGTAATGGATTTATTGATTTGATTTTAAATACAAAATAATAATGTACTGACCTTAAAACTGTATCTTGTGTTTTGATTTTAAGCACAAAATCCAAATATGTAATGAATTTAATATTATTTAGTATGTGGTGGCACCTGTGTGTGCCCGCTCCCTTAACTTCAGCACCGACTATGCCACATGTCTCCACTGTGTGCGTTATTGTTGTGAATTATGGGGCGATGACGATCATGGGATAACACTGTGTGCGTTAATGCCGTTAATAAATATGCATCGTCTGTAATAACTAATTAACCACTCTATCATGTTCTTCTGTATAGTATTTATTATTATTAGTAATATTTACACAAGGAAATCAAACAACGTGATATATCAATGACAAAATAAATTGGAGCAAGGCAGACTCAGTAGCCGCCTCCACAAGTCCTGGGGAGTCGGTGGAGTCCCAGGTTGTACAGCTTACCGTAGATACCTGAATGTTGGCCAACTGGTGTGGGGTTGCATCCTGGCGAAGGTCAGTAGCGGGTCTTGTGGCACCTAGAAAATCTTAACAGGCTTCTTGTCCTCAGCAATGGTAAACTTAGACCCTATAACTACCATACTCATTCTGTACAGTCGAGTTCGTTCTTGACTCACAAATCAAGAATTCCAGGTTAGAATCCCGGCTGGTACAGAAAATGTTGGGTGCACTTCCTTTCACTTAATCTCTCTGTTCACCCAGCAGTAAATAAGTACCCAGAAGTTAGTCAGCTTGTTTATTTGTTTATTGTTGCTGCTGGATGCAGCTAGTTTATTGTGCACCCCATACTCATTCTGTGAGCGGTAGCGCAAAAATTATACTCATTCTGTGAGCGGTAGCGCAAAAATTATACTCATTCTGTGAGCGGTAGCGCAAAAAGGATTACTGAGCACAAAAGGCTAACTAATTTTATCTCCAGAGAATGTGAAAGAAGAGTGTTCTGAGGGCAAGAGACAAGTGTATGTGAAAGGGAAGGGCATGTTAAGAGAGAGAGTATGTAGGAGAGAGAGTGTAGGTTAGGTGATGACATATTATGCTTGCAGCTATGAAAATGTAGGTGATGATAAGACGACTGCAAGATATTGCAACTGGGACTCAAATAAGTGGGAAAACTTAGTGCTTGGTGAAGTTGATATACTGATAATTTTTTTTACTCCTCAATAACCACAGCGAGCCCTGTGTTGAATCAAGCAAACAAGGCAATCAAGACAGGAATTTCTAACTATACTATGCTCAGTGCATGATTTTATTGATAAAGAAAGACAAAAACCTGGTTTTGAATACCATTTTTCTGTGTGCATACAGATAACACATTATGCAATCCTTGCATAGTGTTGGGATTAAGACCATTTGCAATAAACCACCTTAATTCAATTTTAATATTTTTAGTTAATATATATATACACACATATATATATATATATATATATATATATATATATATATATATATATATATATATATATATATATATATATACTGTATATATATATATATATATATATATATATAATATACACACCAATATACAAAGTATATCTGTATACACCAGCATCCAGTTAATAGCATATCCTCACCAATTGCTGCCTAGACACTAGTTTAAAAGAAAATATCATTGTATGTTTACTGTCATTTAATGCCTAATGTCATACAATCATATAATGATTTAATTAATGAGATTGCAAAGTAAATAAACAGTTTGTTTTGTTCATCTAAATGATTTACAAGTGTATGCATTTTAAGACAGGAAAAATGGTGAATTATTTTCTTCTTTGTTCAAGTAAATAAATTGCTAAGTTTTCCACTACATTGTAATAATCAACAGATTTCATAAGAACAATAGTTAAATCTGTAAAATTTATTTTTTAAGTGACTGTTGTGTTCAACACCTCAAAAGATCCACACCTGTTGGAGATCCAGGATTTTTTCCCTAGTCTATGGACAACAGGAAAAAGGAGCATTGATTGTAAGGTAACTGACCTCTACCTAATCTCTTTCACCAAAAATTAAGTATTTAATTTTTAGATGTCACTGTAATAGGTCACCACAACTTAACATTGCTCGTCCAGCGAGGACCCTTATCTGTGTGATAGGGGCTACTCCTCAACACTGCCATTGCCTTTGAATCACAACCTAGAAAATTTCTCAGACTATTTTTTCAACCCATCCTCCTCTTTAGATAGTACCTATTGTGATGTTCGTCAGTAGTCATGAATTCGTACATACTTCGCTTTTAGATAGTAGTATACTGACTAGTAAGGAATTCTTTTAAAATAAATGAAGCTAAAAAACAAACTTAAATATTCCTAGGCCTAATATAGCACACACGTACTATATTTGGCCTCGGATATCATGTATTAGGCCTAGAAAGGTTAGGTTAGGTTACATTAGTTTACTTTGTCAAAGCAACGCAAGTAAAAAATAGTTTTCTGGTTTGTCCAACTCAATAGTTCAGATTTCTAGGTTCTAATTTCATTGTACGTCGGTATTTATACTATGGTCCTCATCGTTACTATAAGTACAGTACTACCAAAACTGGAGGAATGGTTACAAAATTTAGACACTCCTTATCCCTGGTCTCTTTAAGAATATCAGATACTTGATGTATTTAATGCCGTTTTCCAGTCACTCATAAACCACATAATCAACTGGATCCTTAACCCTTAATTGGTACTACTGAAGTCTGCTCAGTTAAACACTTTGCAAATGATTTTCATGCAATCAATAGAGTACACTAATTCATATACTTTGAAAAGTATTTCACAACTTGGCTACACTTGTTAAATATTTCAGCTTGTTGGTATGTAAGTAATTATTAAAAGAAGACAAAGCTGGGAAGACTAAGTAGCATCACCTTGTTCTTAGTTGCCTTAACAAGTCATATTGAAACGTGATGTGTAATGTCCTTAGAATTGATATGCTTACACATTAATAAGTTTGGGTGAATATCAACAGTTGCTGCCTTGTATGGGCCAATACTCCTTCAGTTTCTATTATTGTTATGACAGCTTGCCTGTGCACATTTCCTCTTATAGCTGATCACTGCCAGCTCATCAACATAGTTAAGTGATATTTACATAGTTCATCAACACCTGTTAAGTGATATTTACTGTTCTGATCCTTCTCACCAGTGACCAAGTGATCAGATGTAGTCTGATACAAGGATAGTCTCAAGTTATATTTATATTTTCCAATTTGTCTGTATATTAAATTTGTTCATGCCATGCCAGATTATATTAGTTTTTTTATTTAAAGCATTTTATATTCTTTCTCAAGCAATGATTCAAAATTTAAATGACATTGTCAATACAGGGTGGGTGAATGTGTTAAAGCTTATTCAATTTTTGTATCTGTACTCTGGTAAACAGCATATATAAAAATACAAGGCACATAAATGAAATACATAATTAATAAATCAATTATTAGGATCCAGCATGGCAAGTGGTGTCATATAAAAGCAATTGGAGCAGAGTTTGATTGGAAAACATAGAAAGACATTTGGGCACATTTTCTAACGTGCGATGCCTCATTTCATTCACCTAGTAGTAAACAGTTACTTGAATTTTAGTCAACTATTGTGGAATGCATCCTGAGGATGGTCAGTTGTTGGCCAAAGGGTTACTGCAATAAACCAAAGTCAAGACCTCCTGTCCCTGATAATGGGAAGTCATGTCATTATACTTGTTAAATTGCTTTGTCTCGAGTTATAAGGAGATCTATCCCAACATACAATGCCATAAAACTGGAATTTTCCTCTCATGTTACACTCACATGCAGAAAATGTTCACTTTGCTTTGTTCTACAGTATTTGATTTATTGAATAATGGATTTATTAGTGTTATGGTAACTTTGTACTTAAATATTTGTTGAAATATGTATTTTTACCAGAGAAATGATGCTAATATAGTCTGGATAAGATAGAAAATGATTAAAATATAACCTGTTTATTGTGGTGACAGGTTAGCAACACAGTCTTCCCAGCTTGGTGCCTTCTTGTGATAATTACTTACTTGCACATGTTAGGAATGACTGGATCAGCTGTTTATAATACAAGCCAGCATGCAGTAGCTTTATAAGGCACTAACTTGCAAATTATATCTGATATTAACAATTTATTTCACCATTTCTTCATATACATAATGTAAGTACAAAACAAATGCTGTACCATTCTCTTGGGAAAAGCCTTTAACCTTCTGCATGTCGTATAATTTGTCTCTGAAAAACAATTATACATTAATGACATAAATTTGGTAGTTACTTAAAATACATTTTTAAAAATAAATATATTATTTGCATTATCAATATGTAAATACAATACTGTAACTCTAAAAGGGCTTTAAACCTCTTAGATATTGTATGTTTTTATAACCCAAAACTAATTATTTCACTTGGTGAAGAAGTACACATTGATTTAACTACTTCTGCATGAAAAAATATGAAAAAGAGCACCTAATTCATAATGAAAAATAAGCAAACGTGAAAAGATTGAATATACCCATCCACAGCAGAAAGCCAGGAGAGAATACAAATAAAGGGCAAGAGCTAGAATGTTATTAAACTTGCACACCCACATCAGTGAAGTTGTACACCACTATTGGTTCTCAACAAACACCTCTTTAACACTATTCTTTATTTCTTGATTAACTCTTCTTTAAATGCTCAGCAACTTGAAAGTATGATTTGCTGTCATTTGTTATTTAATACTTTATAAAGTGTAAGCATTCATATTACATTTCATTAATGAAAAGGGTATTCATTTATCATAAGCATTTTGACAGAAAGAAAGATTTTATCTCTAACCTTCAAAGGTGTGATGACGTTAACAGTGGAAAGCCCTAGGGCTCTGAGAAGAACAAAGGGGAGAGCACTGGTACTGTAAAGGCGGTAAAGTCCGTCAATAGATGCCATTGTCATCACATTGTGTTTCTGTCGTTCACTTTCATACTTGTGAAGAATCTCTTCCTCCCCTAGAGAAAGAATTAAAAATAAAATTACTTACAGTATATGTTTTTACTGTAACATAAATTAGAATTAAATATTACAGACAATACATCAAGACAAGGAATGTGGCATGTGTGGGAGCCTGACACACTGACAACAATTAGTATATCCATAGATCATCCAATAGTCTCCACTAAATCCATTTAACTTTAAACTCACCCACACACTCAAAACTTCAGTTTAACAAGCAGAGGAGCTGCTAGTTGTATAAAAACATAAATATCATACCAATATCAGCACCAAGAAGGACAGCATTCTCCAGTGTGTCCAAAAGAGATGCTACATCACCAAACCCAAGATTGACTCCTTGCCCAGCCAGGGGATGAACTCGATGGGCAGCATCCCTGTAAAATATAATACTACATCTTGAGGCAATATTAATCATTGTGGCCTCTAATTACCATTTAATGTACAGCACTTGTATCATTATTGAATGTACTCTCAACATATAATAATCTTCAACTTACCCAATAAGAGCTACCCTAGGTGCCACATAGTGGACTGCATGACCAAGACCCAAAGGAAAAGCTCCTCTGGAGTTGGGGACAATGGCACTCACACTAGGCGGAAGCTGGCGGATGTCAGCACCACTACTAGGCAGGAAGGTATCCAGTAACTTCACCCAACCCTCATGTATGGACTGGACCATCTCATCACTAGTACTGTTATCCCACTGGTCAGAAAAAAGTAATTATAAGCTTCATCTGCTGTGCTAGGTAGAGAAAGAGTAGTCTATATTAAAATAAAATCAGACAAAAAAGTGAGCAATTGAATAACAAGAGAGGTCTAAAATGAATTAAAATAAAAGCATTAAATGTAATGAAATGCCAGTTTCTGGGGTGAGCCCCAGAGGCTTCCTGAAGCTATCATACACTGATTGCTGCCATACTATTTAGTGCCATCAGTCACAGACTTCTATTTGCCTACCAGGGACCACAAGCTAGAACCTGGTCACCTCGGAGAGGCCCAGGGAGTGATGGCCTATGATCACTCTACATTTAAAGATTATCATCTTAGCCATCACCTAGGGTAGGCACCCATCAAGATAGGCAAATCAAAACACTGCATGGTTAAAAACAAGATCACAGCCCCAAAATTGTCAAAAGAACTTCCCCAATAATGAAAACACCCGACCCAAATTTTGTGCAAATCCCCCTCCCCCTCATTGAGGGAGGGGGAAGGTGGAGTTTTGCCTGCCACACCGCAGCAAACTCCTGCACTGTACTGTGTGCTCATCAAAGGAGAGGGTGCTAACAACCTTGGCCTGACTGGTGAGCAAAGCCCCAACTAATGGCCAAGGTGTCTGTAAAGATGTAGAGCGAGGGAAGGGGAGGGTGCCATGGCACCGAACCCTGAAAAACACGAAAAGAAAACTGGTGACACAGCAACCAGCGCAGGGACACTGGAGAACACAACCAGCGATCACGAGAGAGGCGAAAGGGGCTGCCCCGAAGGTACAAGAACAGCCAAACCCTGCCCAACGGGTAAACCAGAAGGGCAAAGTTCAGACCCTTTGTACAAAGCTCGAAGCATAGTTCAAACCACAGCTGCTCGAGCAATTGATGAGACACCCATGTTCCCCTCAATGCCAACAGAAGGCAGAACTGCAGCTCAAGCAAGACAACAGGAAACTGTGAAAACGATGCCAACCGAGAATCTCAAGTCTCAAGTTAGGCCCAACCAGGTTCGATCACGAGATGGAACCAACTGGGACTTCTGCCCGTTCACCAGGAACCCCAAACCCAGTGAGCTCAGAAAGAACCAGAACCCTGGCTAGCAGCAAGCAGACCAGATAGGGGCCCAAACCAGCCAGTCTTTGAGGTAGGCTATCACCCAAAAACCTAACAGATGGAGACGGGTCACCACAACCCGGGTTAACTATGTGAAAATGCAAGGTGTCAGATTCAGGCCGAACAGGAGAGCCCGAAAGCAGTAAGCCTATTGCCCTACAATGAAACCTAACCAATCTATGAACCCAGATGAATATGGAAGTACCAATAAGTGTCCTTGAACTCCAGAAAAATCATCCAAGCTCCCGGCTCGAGAACAAGCCAGACCTGGGATAATGTAGTCATTCAAAAAGAGGAGCAAGATATCAACCAGGTCAGATGGGAAAGATCCCAAATGTACCGATGATCTGCACAATCCTGTTTCTAGACCAGAAACGGGTGGGAAACCCACCGAAGAGATGCCATTTTGACCACGCCCAAAAGCACAGACTCAAACTACTCAACAACTGGAAGGAGAAGAGGCCTGCCCCAACAGCTCCAAACTCCCCAAAGGTAAGATGGCCCAATGCCACCACAGGCCACAAGATATGACCCAAAATGCCCATGAATCATGGGACCAAGTGCGAGCAAAGTGAGCCAGCCTTTCCCCAACCACCCCATCAAAAGGCTGACCAGCGGAAAGGGCTGGCACGAACCACGAGCACCATTCTTCTGAACAGAGCGAGTACAGCTCTGACCTGACTAAGACGAAGCTGGGGGAAACACATCCGACTCGGCAGCCAGCACTACAGAGGACCCACTTTGACCAAAAGCAGGCGAAGCCCTGGCTCTACTCCGCTGAAAAGGGCAAAAACGACCCCCTTCCCCACTGGAAACAAAGCAAATAAGCGACTGACAAAATAAAAAATGTCAATGTCGTCAGAAAAAAGCAAAACACAAAAAGGAGAAGCTGAATTGAGAACCAGGACCCATGCCAAAATATGGGGCACCTGACAATGCAGCTGCATGGGAAAGAGCAGGAAGGGAAGGGAACTAACAGGGGAAAGAACCAAGCTATTATGACTATAAAGCACTTGGAAGGGATCAGGATAAGGATTTGGGAAAGGACTGGGAAAAGAAATGGTGCCCAACCACTTGGACAGTCAGGGATTGAACTCTGACCTGCATGAAGCGAGACCATCACTCTACCATCCAGCCCATTGGCTGGATGGTAGATTTTGGTTGGGCACCATTTCTTTCCCCTGTCCCAACCCAAATCCTTATCTTGATTTCTTCCAGGAGTGAGAGCAGGAGCAAAGATGCATGAATTGAGGGACTCTAAAGAGCCTCCCCAAAAAACCTCAAAGGCAAAAACACCACTCAAAAACAGGAGACTAGAGCCAAAGCGATGACGACCAGTAGGCACAGATATCAGTCTAGAACTGAATGATGAGGGGTCTCAGCTGACGTGGGCCAGCTCCCACCTTCGCCCAATGAAGAGGGAGGTGGAGGAAACTAGTGGGGGGGGGGGGGCTATTTTCACAAACATTTTTATGTTTGTTTTCATTGTTGGGGAGTTCTTTTGATAATTTTGGGGCTGTGGTCTTGTTTTTATCCATGCAGTGGTCTGTTCTGATTCACCTGTCTTTCTGTGTGCCTTCCCTAAGTGGTGGCAAAGATGATAAGCTTTAAATGTAAAGAGTTCATAGGCCATTACTCCTTGCACCTCTCTGAGGGGACTAGGTTTTGGCTCATGGTCCAAAGTAGGCAAATAGAACTCTGCAATTGATGGCACTGATCAATGTAAGATAGCTTCAGGGCGCCGACGGGGCTCCCCACAGAAAAGGAAAACTTTTTGCAATAAATAACAAAGCACTCTGTGGACTGGAATCCTTGGTAAAAGGAAGCAGGTACAGTTTCAATTAGCATGTTGGAGTGAGGTTCAACTTTACAATACTAGCTTCATTTCTTAATAAAAATAGTGCAAAAATTCTTCACTACAGGAAATAGCATGTTCATTTTACTTCACATAAATAATAAAGCAGTGAAAAAAGATACAGCCTTTATTCAACAAGTTACAAAGGATAAAACTCACTATTGCTCTGTTAAGAGCATCCGTGAAGTCTTCATCAGAGAGCTTTAGCAATTTTTTTGCATTTTCTTTTGTTGTTGACCATACCAGCGAACTTCTGTCTTCTGAGAGCTGTTGAAAATGTTAGGTATATAACTGGAAAAATACTGTATGGTAATTAAATATTGTCATCTATACAGAGCAAGTTATGTTCATAATGAAAGTACTATATATTAATCTGTACAGTACTTTAGTACAGTATCCTTTGCTGCTGGAAGCAACTTACATTATACACCAACTAAAGGAATACTTCCGAGTTTTTATGTAATTCCCCACGGTGGCTTATGTATCAAAACTTGAATCAAAATCAAAGCCCCTCCTTGTGTGCATATATACATAGACAAACACCTAAAAACTGTATGCTCTGGTTGGTTGGTTGGTCATTGTAATTCAGAATAAAGTCATAGTATTGAAACGGAAGGAGAGAGCATGTAGTGTTATTAACCATAGATATAGGGTATACAAGCATAGACCAAATGTACAATCACAGTTATGGGCCAGGACAAAAAAAGAGAAAATGGCAGTTAGTTCTAAAGAAACAAGTGTAACGTAATGAAGAGGAATAAAGATTACACAAGACCAGAAGGAATATGCACCATAAGATAAAGGCAACTACAAAATCCAGAAAAAATGAATAAGACTTGGGAGAATGTATATTTCCAACACTCACACTGGACACACTCCTAATGTCCCACCAGGTCACTTGGCCCTCAATAGGTTCTTAGTGAATCTGATACATTTGATGTAGCTCGCTTTATGTTCCTTTGTTCATGTATTGGCATTTTGAATATACCACAACGCAGATAATGTTACGTAATCTTTCCGGCTTGGTGCCTTCTTTTGATAATTACTTACTGTGCACACACTAATAAAAACTCAACAGTACCATGTTGGAAACTAGTAACATAAGAACAGCCGTATTCAAATCCTTAAACATGTTGAACATACACTCCATAGAGCCTCTTATGTTTTTTACACTTCCAAAGCTCTATACTCCAATGCTAACACTAACTTGAAACTATTCCCACATGGATATATCAGAGCCCATAAACACACGAAATAAGTACTGTATCTCTGCTAAATTGCTCAAGTCTGACTCGGTGGTCTTTGTCGCCAGCTCACATCCAAAGGTCCCAAAATTTATTCCCATAGTAGGACAGAGACAGTTTCTTTCACCTCATGCATATATTCACCAATCAGCAAAAAGGAACCCAGGAGTTAGGGAACTGTTGTGGGTTGTATCCAGGGAAAGGCCAGTAGTTGGCCTAGAGGGATCTCAATAAGCCCCAAGTACTGTCTTCCTGTCCCCCCAACAACAGGAAACCAAACAAATTCTGTGCAAATAAAAGATTGTTGTTCTTCAACATTGTTGAAGAACAATGAAGAACCCCACTCCATTGTTGTTCTTTTTGTTATGCAAACTGCATTATTTAATCTTATCTACTGTACCCAAGAACCTTGTGCTATTAGTTCACCTAGTACAGTACAATAATATGTGAAAATATAACGCCTGCAATAATAACATTCCTCATTATACTGTATTACTGTAACCTAATACAGTGGGGCCTCGATTTACGATGGTAATTTGTTCCCAGAGACATATCGTAAGTCGAAATATTGAAATCGAAACGATTTTTCCCATAATAAATAAAGGGAAATGAATTAATCCGTTCATGACTCCAAAAAAAATTAACTTCAAAGTAAAGATATATCTAATTCACCCAAATCTTCACTACAAAAGTATGTACAAGTTATTACTTACCTTTACTGATGACTCCTGTTGGCGTATGGAAAATGATAAGTAGGGGGAAGGAGAAGAGGTGTTACTGTTTGGAAGGGGAGTCCCTTTCCCTTATAACATCAGGTAGTGATGATTTTTCTGGGGTACACACTCTCCTACGTTTTGCCTGCATACCACTAGGACCCTGCTAGGTTCACTGCTAGTTTGTCTCACTAAAAATTTGCCTAGCGACACTTATTTTTCCCTTCATTTTAACATTTGTCTGTAGTGATGTATCACAGTGTTATTGAAGAGGTTAAGGCAACGGCCTACTGCAGCTCGATTTGGGTGAGTCCTTTCAGCAAAAGTTTAGTTCTTCCCATGCTGCACACATTTTCTTAATTTTTGAGGAAGGAATATTCTGTACTTCCTCTATGGTCATCCTCACATGTGCTTTCATATGTTGAACCTTACTACTGATATTCTTGGGACCCATGGCATGATATATAATAATCAGGTTTATGTTCAAAAAGCAAAAAATCACCTAAAAAAATAGAATTTCTTATAAGCGTGATCATCACTAAGCGGGCGGCTCTAGTAAACTGAGGCAGTTCGGCCCGCGCGATCGGGAACCATGCGCTCGTTCGACCCAAATGTGTATCAACAAATATCGTTAGTCAACAACACTATCGTAAGTCGAGTCACATTTTCTGATTAAATTTATAGCATATCTCGAAATTATCGTAAGTCGAGGTGCCACTGTACTCATTTTCTTCTAGTGTATGTAGTTCTTTTCCGGCCCCGACCACGGCGGTCTCTAGGTTTGGAGTCCCTGAGCCTTTTTTTACCAAATTCGAGGTCAACTCCGGAGCTAACAGTTCCTGTAACGACGCTGGAACCAATCATATTGGCATTTGCCTTTCCATTAGAGACTTTCGGCGCCATGGAGAGGGGGGGGACCTGCTGCATGCTTCTCCTCCATATCAACCTGCCCTGGAGAGGCCACCCCGGACAGACAACTAGAGCGCAACTCCATAGTCTCCAGAGACTAATGGATGCCTACTACTAAATGGCATTCAGGGTATTCTAAGAGAATTAAAAGAAAATCTATGTTGAAAAGAATGTAGAATACATAGACACATACTGGCAGAAGGGCGACAGGACCAGTAGGAAGGAACCTCTGCCAGGCCACAGTGTTGTCAGCTGCCTGGAAAATAAAATACAGTACATCATAAAATATATTAAATTTTTATTCTATATTATATGATAAATATAATGCACGAGATGAATATACAGTAATACACAAGAAAAATACAATATTATACTTGTGCACAAACTTAAATATTCCTAGGCCTAGTATAGCACATATGTACTATAATATGGGCCAGATAGCTTGTATTAGACCTAGGAAGGTTAGGTTGGGTTATATTTTCTTTGCAACATAAATACAAAGTCTTTTCTGGTTTATCCAAATTCAGTAGTACTGAGTTCTACTAAGTGCCTTTTATGTCAATATATGTACTATAGTCCTCATCGTTACTATAAATATTACCTAAACAGGAAAATGGGCTGCACATTTCTTACAATGTTTTTATAGCCTTTTTTGGATAAGTACTGTAGTCTTTCTGCCACAAGTAGAAGTGTGAAAAAAGTGGTGTTGATGTGATGAATGTGATAAAGATGAATTTGATGATATACAGTAGTAACTATGACAGAGTTTGTTTTTATGTTTGTTTATAAACTGATACAAATATTTATAATGAATTTGTGAATCTGCTATTCAGATGAATTTGCAGAAATTTTGCAAATGTGATAAAAAGAAAACTATGATTCATAAATGTTGACTTTTTTCAAATATTGAAACTTGAGTTAAGTCGCATTACATATTGTATTAGGTAAAATTGAGACAATGATTGCCAATTGGGAAGAATAGGTGTTGCTGCTCCCTTTTATACTTCAAATTCTTATTGCACCTAGGTTATTATTTTCTAATATGATGCATTGTAATTTTTTTTTTTTTTTTTTTATAAAAAATTAACAATACATTTACTTACCTCTGAGAGCTGTAGTGTTGCCACTATTCCCATCTGGTCATATTCCCAGCCCACATATTGCACACCCATAGTCTTACGCACCAGGGACTTGGCTCCATCAGCTCCAATCTGGAAAACATTATCGTTTCATTAGAACTCCTTCATGCTTTTTGCTCTTATTTCATTTCTATGTCTTTCAATTTGCCTTAATTTTGAAGGGGAATCTAGCTCTGGCACCACTTCTAGTTTCTTGGGATTTAGTCCTTCAAACAGGTCATGTTTGCAACATGACTAATTGCTCACAAATGGTTTCTCTAACTTCTGCTCATTTTTTTTATGGAATAGAAGCTAAATGTGATGTCCTTGCTGTGAATATGTGATACAGTATAATTGTTTGCCTGAGGTGGATCTGTTTGCCTCCATGTGTAGCAATTAGTTTGTGGTTCAGTTTCCCATCCTGGAAAGCTTTGACATTAGATGCTCTGAATCTTAAGTGAAACAGGTGAGACTGCATTTACTGGTTTCTGTCATTCCAGATGTTGCTCGTTTTTCTGGTAGAGGTATACAATGCTTATGTTCCTGTAGAAATGACGACTAACAGAGGATGACCCCCATATTGGAATAAAGCAGTGAATTGAAACACTGCAGGAAAGTCTTATTCACTCATAAGGAGCTCCGTCATGAGAAGAGAATGACTATTCAGATGAATTTGCAGAAATTTTACAAATATGATAAAAAGGAAACTTGACAAAGAACTTTGGAAAACTCCCCCAGTAACAATCCTTACAAGGAGTATTATTGTACAGGAAACAACCCAAAATTTCTAGGAACATATTCCTGATGTAAATAGAAATGTGTAAAGTGTAAAATATGAGCTGCAGAATTCTTCAAGCATCAGTCATCACCATTTATCTTGACAAATGGTGCATCATAGAAAACACTTATGAGGCACTCAACATATGTAATTTATATAAGACTCACCATGGTGAATGAAAAATTGAAGAATTAATTCTACAGTAAATATCTGGATAGAAACCAGTCACAGTACAATTACGCTGATCAAGCTTTGATAGAAAGGCAGTGCACATGATTGTGCTTAAAAGTAAGAAGCAAATGTAAATAAATGAACGGTATGTAAATATGAAAGTGAATAATATGTTTTGTGTATTGCACAGCTTCATTAAGAAAATGTACAATAGTACAGTAACTTGATTATTCAAAAAATGTACTATTTATATGAAAATAGATTATTTAGTTTTAGGTATATTAAAATAAATGAAACTTTATAGTTTCATCTTTAGAACATACCAAAAGATCTGTTGACAATGTTCTACCATCCTGGAGCGAGACTGTCACTCGGGAAGAGAGGTCAGAGGGAAGCTTGTATCCCTCTACCTTGGTGCTGTATTCCACCTGTTGGCAATAAGAACACTTTAAATCTTCATAAATATATAAATGAATAAATCCACAAAGGCCATGATGAGGTTTCGAACTTACATCCAGGATGATCCCAGATGCGCCTTAATCGAATGAGCCATGACATGGTAAGAGAATTGCAACCGAGATTGCTTCTGCTCTCACACGAATTCCGCAGTCTCTTCGAGACACAAACCGGGGTTTTACACAACTTCCCCATGCACTCAGGCTCTGTCAACAAACTATTCTACCACTTTGCCCTTACTTCAATACACACAGAAATCACAATAGCGTGATATATCAAATGAATAAATCCATAAGGGTCATGATGAGGGTTCGAACTTATATCAAGGATGATCCCAGATGCGCCTTAATCGACTGAGCCACGACATGGTAAAAGAATTACAACCGAGATTGCTACTGCTCTCACACGGATCCCACAACCCCGGTTGCATTCTTTTACCATGCCGTGGCATTTACATTTTTATTTTTTTCCCCTTTAAAGTGCTTAAATAATAAAACAGAAATCATTTACAGCTCATATATGACTGTTGTTCTTCAGATCTTAAAGTAATTCTTGATCAAAGCTCCTTATAAAAAAATTTAAACTTAAAACATTATTACTAGTAAACTTTGTATTATTAAGAAAGGTTGCTAGGAGTATAATTTTGAAATTTTAGCTTTACACTAAACCATTGAATACACTATTATGTGGCCCATGACTGAAACCCTCTCAAAGACAAAGTGTCACTGTCCACGGGGCATCATCTACTAAAATTATTAAAGTAAAAATGATATGTAAATAAATAAAAAATAATGAAGTAATGTGTTACTGTACCTCAATGTTTTGCAGCACTTGTTCCTTGATGGAGTGTAAAATAACATCATTTTCCACAATGTGTGCCACCAGATTTTCTTGGTCCTCATTATCAAACGTAATCATTGCCTCTGAACAGGATTCCCACACCTACATCATCAAAATATGTTAACATACAACAGCTCAAAATAATAATTTATTACAAGCAAACAACATAAACAAAAACCATAAGAAGTAATTTTTTAATAGTTGTAAAATCTTCAAAACCACACCATTGAAATTAAGATTGTTTTGGTAGAAATTGAGTATAAAGTTTTAACAACTTTCATATTATCCTGATACTCACTTTTTTCCGATACAGTAATCGATTATTAAAATGTTAGCATGGACAGACTTTACCCTATAGATCCACAAATGTAAACAGTAATATGTAATTTCTTGATTATTTTAAAAATCATTAATACTGGAATGGCTTTTTTACTTGATTTAGAATACTCTAATATATTTAGTTAGCTACTGATTAGAAAAAATGGACTAAATTCAGGCGACGAGTCACAATAATGTGGCTGAAGGTATGATGACCAAACCACACATCAGAAAATGAAGAAACGACGATGTTTCGGTCCACCCTGGACCGAATTATCTTGATAATGGTCTAGGACGGACTGAAACGTCTTCGTTTCTTCGTTTTCTGATGTGTGATTTGGTTATCTTGTATAAATACAACTGTGATTTCAGGCATTTGTCCATAATACCTGTCTCTCTTCAGTTTGTTATACTGTAATAAATACATACAGCTTCATAAGGTATGAAACTGTGAAGGTATGACTATACTTTTCTCACCACACCACTTTTCTTTACAGCACACTTGTGTTTACTAGTTGTGTTTTTGCGGGGGTTGAGCTTTGCTCTTTCGGCCCGCCTCTCAACTGTCAATCAACTGTTTACTAACTATATATTTTTTTTTTTTTTTTTTTTTTCTCCACACATCACACACACACACACATCCCAGGAAGCAGCCCGTGACAGCTGACTAACTCCCAGGTACCTATTTACTGCTAGGTAACAGGGGCACTTAGGGTGAAAGAAACTTTGCCCATTTGTTTCTGCCTCGTGCGGGAATCGAACCCGCGCCACAGAATTACGAGTCCTGCGCGCTATCCACCAGGCTACGAGGCCCCTATTACATATTGTGATGTGTGACATATTGGTATCCTATTGTTGGGACATGAAGGATGTTGTCAGAGGTCTCCTCCCATTGGCTACACCAGGTCACATGCCCTGTAAATTGTCATCACCATATGTCAGACCTCCCTGAGCAACATCTTGTTTGCCCCCAAAAAACAGAAAATCCTGGATAAAACTTAATATCAACCTCTTTGCATAAATTTATACATATTAAAATAAATAATATACCAGTATTCCTTGGGAATCTCTCATGGTACTCATGAGTGGGTATAGTTCTCAAAGAAGGCCGAGTAATGTTATGATAGACTTTAAGAAGACCAACAGTTCATAGTTTATATACACAACATTCATATTCAAAATGTTATAAGCACTTTCACCCAAACATAGGGTCCATAGAATTACCCCAATCATCCCAAATCAGGCCAAAACTACCCAAAACGTATTAGCATTACGTAAGTAATGAAGAAATATGGTATATTTACTTACTATAATGTTGGTGCTACACGTAGAACATGATCAAACCTATTTTTTCTCTGAAATAATCTAATTTCATAACGAAATGAGACGTAAATATGTGAGAGGTGACGCCATAGGAAGTCGACGGTCCAAGCGACAATTGTGTGGAGCGACTTATCCAAGAAATATGGTCGCCAGGAGAGTGTTTGCTGCCATATCAGCCTCCTGTACACAGTGATCCAGTCCTTTTCGTTCATTGAACACCGAACCCTACACGCCCTCTGATATATTGCTTAATTAACAAATATTCACAAATAAAGATTATATTTGTATATGTTATCAGAAAGGCAGATATAAAATAGTTTTTGTGAATCCATCACAGAGATTATACCTTATTAGAGAGGAAAAATATTCATACTTTAAACAAGGCTTCATGGCCGACGCTCTCCTTACCGATATGGGAACTATGACCTTCCGAAGATCAATGTTAATTTAATCTAGATATTGTAATAAACGAAGTTTTCTATGTCATCATAAAGACATAAATATAAGCTGCATGTTAATACTTTGGCATAAATATAACTGAATTGAAAGTTAAGATATATGCCTTTTTATAGTTACTTGATGGCTCGCTCAGGGAGTGTGAAGGCCTCCACACAAGCCAATCAATTTTATAATTACTTTGCATATATGCAAAGTAACGCCATAGGTCTTTATGTCAGAATAAAGCCATGTAGACGATAATGTAACTACATTTCAAGGAAAACATATCTTAATATAATTATTAAATGAATGCAAAGTTATGGTTAAATAAATAGCCAATACCACACAATCGCCGGTGTCCGGACACATGAATAGTCGCATTAGGTGAAAGGAAATGTACCCAACCATTTCCATTTACCCAACCAGTTTGTGCACCCTATACTCATCCTCTGTGCGGTAATTTATTGTGCATCCCATACTCATCTTGTTACCAGTAGTTTGTGCAACCCATACTCATCCTGTGACCCGTAATTTATTGTGCATCCCATACTCATCCTGTTACCGGTAGTTTGTGCAGCCCATACCCATCCTGTGACCTGTAATTTATTGTGCAACCCATACTTATCCTGTGACCTGTAGTTTATTGTGCAGCTAATACTCATTCTGTGAGTCATAGGACATTGCGAAACCCTTTCTCATCGTGTGAATCTTTGTTTACTTTGCTCTCCATATTCATCCTCTGCGCGATAGTTTCTTGTGCAACCCATACCCATGATGTGAGTGGTAGTTTATTGTGTACCCTATATTCATCCTGTGAGTATAGGGTTCACAATTCTTGTTTGGATTCTTGTAATGTTATTTGTCTATTTGTAGTCACAGTATTTGTGCGCCCCTTGAGGGACTTGAATTAGAGGGGGGTTGAAATAGCCTAAGCTACTCTATCCCTTTGAGATTTATTTATTGCTTATCTCAATAAACATACTTGAACTTGAACTTGGGTACACAATGAGTTCATTTGTACTCCATACTCATCATCAAGAAGTGTATTTTACCAGCATTGTAATATAAATTAAGAATAAAAGCTTAACTGGATTACAGACCCATAATCAAAATAAGAGTCATCACTAATTATCATGACAAATTCTCTAGGCTACACTTCCGCCTTCGACAAGCTGCCGCCGGATGTGGGTATAGTTTATTGTACACCCCCGCACCCCCAGTCCTGGAAGGGCGGGCATTGGGATGTGGACATGTGTACCATTTCCCCCCCCCCCCCCCCACACACACACACTCGATCCTCTCCTGTTAATAATAATACTAATAATAATAAAAATTAAAAATAATAACGTTAATAAATATTATAATTAAAACACTTACTGTAATACCCTAGTGCTTGAATGAAGGTGAAGGAAAGACCCAATAAATGTGTAAGTGTATTAAAAACCAAATTTTCGTTGGGTGAGCTGGCAGGTGAGCACCACTTGCCAGCTCACCCAGTAATGAACATCACCTGCACACTGCACCGAACCACTTGCCAGCAGGTGCAGAAGTACGATGGAGAGAGCAAAGTATACCATATTTCAAGTATAATATTAAAGATATATTTAGGATTTAATGTTTTCGTATAAAGTTTCAATAATACCTTTATTTGATTTTTTTGTATTATTTTCTACCACAGACGTGGCCACACATTAACAATGCTAACCATCATATATACATTTTCTTCAGTCCGCCATGGACTCTAACCCTTTCCACTACCGCCCACAAGATGGGTATAGGGTGCATAATATAAGAACTAAACTAACTCCATTGATAGGGTTAGAGATTTGTTAAACATATAGTTCAGGGATTTATTGAACAATCAACCACATAAGGTGATTGTAGTGTTTTTAAAATGCTAGGCTAAGCTACATACGTAAATACATAAATACACAGATTTACGTATGCCCTACATAAAGTGTTCGATGTGTCTTTTACATAGTGTCATTAACGTGCATTTACAAAGGTGAAATTGAATTCTGAACACATACATACACATATATTTGTCTCTTTTACTCTGACAAGGTGAGATAACTGATAGAGAAACTAGTGTGCAATTAAGCACTTAATCACTGAAGGTGATTAAGGTGCTTTCACAAGCTCAGGTTATAGAGTTACATCACATACATTCATTGTATAATTGATACGTTACATCGTCAATCTAGGGTACAAGTTCAATATATCATCAAGTGTTCCAGTACTCAAATAGTAATTACACAGTTTAGCATAGCGCTTCATTCATGTATGTAAGAGAGAAGATTGTTCAAATATATTACATGCACATCCGGTACATCGTCCACCTTCTTCTACAGAACCGTCGGTATACCACTGATACACATCGTTACCCATATTCTGAGTACTTTCAGTGATGCTTCACAGTGTTAACTGTTTTAATAATGTAGAGTGTACATTATCTTTCTTGGGTGCATTTACAAAATCAACTGCTAGATCCAAGTTATCCCATGGAGTAATTGGTTGATTAATCGTTAATTGAGTTGGGTACATATTTAATATTTTGATGGAGTTGGCTACCTTGTAGAACCAAAATGCATTCACGCCGAAAACTGTGCTAATAGACAAAATTATGTTAGAGATATGGGTCTATAATTATCTGAGTGTGCTTTGGGGATGGGAACAATGACACTGTCCAATCATCAGGTAATACTCCTTCACTTAAACTCATTCTGTACAACACTAAAAGTGGATTACCTGGTACTTGTGAGACTAATCTCAGTAAACTGTAAGTAATACCGTCCTCTTCAGGAGCAGTTGACTTATTTGATTGTGCTACACAGCCTTCCCGGCTTGGTGCCTTCTTTGGTAATTACTTATCAAAGGCAGCTCCATACGAGGAGCTGCCTCGTATGGGCCAATAAGTCTTTTGCAGTTACCTTCATTCTTATGTTCTTACTTACATTTACTGAACTTTATCATCATCATCATCATTTACAGAAAGAAATTAATATAAAAAGTAGTCATTTTAATACACAAAACAGAAGTAGATATTATGTA